TAATTTATGACTGATTAAATCTGAAATTTTATTTTAATTTCTATAATTTATTTATTTTATATTTATTTAAATAGTAAAAAAAATATTAAAATAATATATCATAATTTTTAATAAATAGATTTTTAATATAAACTAAATATTGTTAATCTTTTAATAATTAAAAATATATTTAACAAAAATAGAGAACGATCAATAGAAAAGGAGAAAATCTACAAATTTTGAATAATTTAGTTATTAAGCTAATTTTGTTCACATGATCATGATTAGCAGAGTGAATAAATAAAAAAATTATTGACTAAAAAGTGGATTTTCTTCTTTTCTACTGAATGCTCTTTAAATAAATATTTTATAAATATTATATATCATAATTTAAGAAATTCATATAATAAAAATTATGTAATATAGCAAAATTTATTTTTAAAAATCAATATAAAGATTTACAAAAATAAAGTTAACTAAAATTATATTTAATTATATACAGTCAACTCTTGATATAGCGAACTCTTGATATAACGAATTTTTTGAACAAATATAATAAAAATACTCTTGTTATAGCGAATTGACCAATCAAATCTCTTAAAATCTTCACTATAGCCTTATAGTGAAGTTGAAATCTAAGACATAGAGTTCGTTATAACAAGAGTTGACTGTAAAAGACAATTAAATTTAATTTAAAATAATTCAATAAAAAATTAATTAAAAATAATAATTTTTATTTTTATTTTATTGTGTAATTTATTAAATGCAATTATTTACATTCTTAAATATTTATTTGAAATACATATTTTTATTTTAATACATTTTATTTATTTTATTATACTTTATATTTAAAAATATAATCTGAATATAAGAATATATATTTAACTAATATTAAATTTATATCATATTTTCAAATAAATTAATTTATTAAAAGTTAAAAATACAATTATTTTAAAAATATATTTTATAAATTAGTCTTTATATTCAAGTTATAAATAAATATTTTAAGAATAATCTGTTAAGATATATAATATATTATATGTAAATTCAAATAAATCTCTTCTAAAAAGATATTTAGTTAAATTAAATTTAACTACTATTTAATTAGTTAAATATTTTAGTTTGCTTAATTATTAATTAATTAATAATTAATTAAATATTTAAAAAATTATTTATTTAAAATAATATTAAATATTTGATAATTATTAAATATTTAATAATAATTTATTTATAATTATATTTTTGTAAATTATATTTAAAATTTAATTAATTAATATTTAATAATAATATTTTTATAATTTTAAATATTATATAGTCAAATTAATCTGATAAATAAATAATAAATAAATTATTAAAATTAAATTTATTTTATTAAAAAAAAATTAGTAAATTTCAAATTTCTTATATATTAATTTAAATTTTAATTGAAAAATTTTTAAGATTAATAATTTAATTATTATTATTTATTATAAAATAATTATTAATTTCATTAAAAAGATTTAATAAGTTAATAAAGATTATTTTATAAATCTTTTACTAAGTTAAGTATATTAACTTTAAATTAAATATTAAACTTAAATAATTAAATATTTATATTAACTTAATTAATTAATATAATTTAAAATTCTTATTTTAATAATAATTTTATTAATTTAAAGATATATCTATAATCTATTTTAAAAGTTAAATTATTATTTATAAAAAAAAGATTTATTATTTTATTATTTCTTTTTTAATATGAATTATTAAAATATAAATAAAATAAAAAGTTATAAAAATATCACTTTTTATTTATTAATTAAATAATTTAAATTAACTAAAAATCAATGTTAATATTAAATTAATAATAAATAACTTAAATATTAAAATTAGGTTAAATATAATTAGATTATTATTAAATAAACTAATTATTTAAAATATGATTATAAAATCTAAATAAATATAATTTAAATATAAATAAATTAATATTTTTAATTTTTAATTTATTATGAATTTTTACAATAAATTACTAAAAAATTCATTTAATATTTGAAGTATTAAATTATTTATTATTTGTTAATAAAAATTATAATATTATAAAATATAAATTTAAGATAAATTAGAAAAAAATTATAAAAAAATCATATTTTATTTTAATAAATAAATATTTATTTAAATGTAAATATTAATTCTAATAATTATAAAATTAAGATTAATTAATATTTTATTATTTTAAATTAAAAATTTTATTTTATTACTATTTATTTTTTAAAATTTAAAAAGTATATAATTATTTTTTTTTAAAAATTAACTTTCTTAAAAATAATTTATCTATATATATTTTAAAATTTTAAAAAAGATTAAAATCAAAAATTATTTATATTAATAATAAAAAAATTAATTATACTTTTAAATAACTTATATTTAAAATTGTTAGAAAAACTTAAAGAATTAGGTTATCTAAATTATAAAAGATAAAATTTAACAAAACTTATAAAAATGATAAATTAAAGTTTAAACATTTTATCAAATTCAAAGTAAATTTAGATAAACAATTATAGAAAAATTTTTATTAAAAATAAAAATAAGAATTTATAAAAGAAATCTATTAAATAAATATTACTTTAAAATTCAAAAAGAATATTTTTAAATAAAGTAAAAATTAATATTTATGAATAAAAATTAGATAATTACTAAAAAATTTACTTAAAAAAAAATGAATTTACTAAAAAATCTACTTTAAAATTAAAATAAAGAAATAAAAATTAATATTTATAAAAAAAAAAATTATTAATATATTTATTATTAAAATATTTTAAAGTATTCAGCAATTTATTTTAATAGCCAATTTAATATACATCTAATTATTTTAATTTTAACTAATGATTAATAAGTTTAAAGTATAGTTAGTCGTCTCTCTCTATAGTCACCTCTGTACAATCACATCATATAAATCCCTTATTATAAGCACATATTTCGTAAGAACTAATACCTATTAATACTATATAATAAAATCCTTTATAATCACAGTATTTTTATAGTCACACCTATTAATACTATATAATAAAATCCTTTATAATCACAGTATTTTTATAGTCACACCCAACACTTAGTAACAACATATAAAAATCCCCTGTATAGTAACTTTTTATTATAATCACACTTTTCATTTTTAGTTCTAAAGGGTGTGACTATAAAGAGGGATGACTGTATTTTATAATTTAAGTATATAATTATAATGAAAAATATTTAATAAAATTTAATAATAAATATAACATTAATTTTTAAATAAAAGTTTGAAGTAATAATTTACTTGAGTTTATAAAAAATGAAAATAGATCTAATAATGAAATTTTATATGTAGTTAAATTATGATAGTATATTAAACATAATTAAAAATTATTTCAATAATAATATTTTCAGTAGTAACTTTATCTATGGTTTTTTCGGAAGTCTTAACAATGTTTCAAAATTTTTTGTGGATTTATATCACGTGATTAGTAATTGACCAATGAAAACGAGATATTAATCGTTTTTTTGTATATCATTTTAAAATTATAATTATTCGGGCTAACTTTATGATTAATTACCATAATACCGGCTCGAATTATCAATCAATAATATATGTTTCATAATCATATGAAAATCTATCCAATTTTAAATTTCTATAACTTTTTATATAGAACTTTTTTTTGAAAAACTGACCGGTAATTTATGTAAAGTTTATTTTATATTATTATATCAAATATATCATTCGTAAATTGGATAATATTAAGCATGTAGGATTCATCTAGAAAACCAAATTTAATATTAGAGCCCTACTTTCTTTTCCAAAGGTCGTCCCTTTTTTTTTAAAAAGAAAAAAATGATACGTTTATATCCCTTGAATTTAAGAAAAGGCGCTTCTTTTAGGTTATCAAATAATATTTAAGCACTTTCTCTTTTTTTAGTATACTTGATACACTAAGGTATCCATTCAAATTACTTCGCCCGAAGGCATATGACTTTGTAATTTTATTATCGGTGACATTTCTGCAAACAAGTAATTGAAAAGTTCAGAGAGAAATTCGAACCAATTTTATACTTGTGGTTCTATAGAGGTCAAAGAATTAGGTATTATTGGAGACAACTTTCTAAAATATGTTATTATTTGTCAGATGGAAAGCCATAGAGTAATAAATCAACCATATATTACATATAAAAATGAAATTTCATAAAAAGAAGGTCTTCCAATCCTATGAGAAAAGAAACATACAAAAAAATAAAAAACGATTAAACGTACTGAAAACATATCAATTTCGCCAATGTAATGTTTTCTGGATGTTACTTTTTCATGGGATGAATCCTTTATTTAACAATTGACATTCTTTAACGGAACGAAAGTTGGGAAATATTTATGTAATAAAATAAAAAGAAAAAAAATAAATATTTCTTCTGTAGCTAAAATCAACGAGGATAAAATAAAGTTAACGACATACGCATGTAAATAAGAAAAAAGTAGGAAATATTTTTTATATGCATGACGATGCAAATAATTGTTCGATTGTTCGATTACGTTATCAATTATCTAATAATAATCCTTAAATTAATTTTTTTTCCTTAGATAAACCCTCCTTTTTGACATTATTAAAATTTTGCATATCAATTGTGCAACTTTTCTCATCATGCATAATGAAATCATCACAACCTTTTCATTATCGTACAAAAGCCCATCTCGGAAAAATACGACCAAGTGCAATCCATTCATTAATGGTTTAAGTTAGTTAATAAAAACAAACAAAGTTTATTAATTATTTATCAACCTTGCCATGTATTTGTAGCACAAAACTGACAGCGAATAACGAAGCGAAAAAAAAAAAATTGTGTAAGATTTAAATCGAGTTGATTTTGCCATAGGTTAAATAGAAAATTGGAATTTTCATTAAAAAATGAAAAGAAAAAAACGAAATAATATAACGAATGAATAAAATGGAAATAATTCAGATTTTTGACTTGCGATTAAAAAATTTTTTTGCCTATCTAAAATTTAACATATATTTGTACTAAAATGTATAGTACATTAAGTATATATTCCTTATGTTTGTTTCGTAGACATTGGCCATCGGATCGACTATATTTTGAAATTGATCATCATTGACCACGTAATTTGACTCAGCCGGAGGGTTAAGGATCATATTTTCGCCATCCGTGTCGCGAGAAATTTGATAATTTCTACGTAATTTGTTCTTTTCTTCATCTGGTAATTTGTACCACATTTTTGAAATTAATTTACTATAGGTCGTCATTCTCATCTTATGCGGTTTATATCGTTTCATTGACTTGCGGAATTCAATGAAAATGTTAGCTTTTCTCTTTTTCTTTTCCCCTCGCGTTTCAATCTTAATCGCTGTCAAGGGTTCTATAAAGTGTAATTCCATCTTATATGCAAAGAATTTACAATTTTCGGATTCAATACGTTGAAATTATTTGGGAAAGGGGAAGAAAAGAAACACTTCACTTATATTCATTTTCTTGTTGTGTTTCTTCTTTTTTACGAGTAGCTTGAAAACACGATCAATTTATATTTATCAGAACATAAAAATTTTTGTAATATAGCTACATTAAGGATTATAAGGTCAACCTTTTATTGCGTTAAAAGAATTGAAAGGAAAAGTATTGTTTCACAATCGCGAATGATACTTTAATTTTAATTTTAATGGATAAATTTATTATTTTTTTTTTTTATCAATCTTCTTGGCTATCTTATTAACGTACCGACATGACGGTCGGTATGAGAGTCTAATTTAAACATAATCGGATTAAAATTTTTTAACCTTGTTTTGACGGAAAGAAAGGTTCGGTAACAAAGAAACAATTGATGGGAGTCTATCGCCGGCGTATAGTATAAACAAATAAAACAAATATTTAGCCAAAGCAATCATTAGTCAGTTCAAATTGGATATGTAAGCGTAAATAATGGCTTAAGAGCATAATGCAGTATCACCAAATAAACATCATCATAGGTACATATACTTGAATGATTTAAAGAAGGGTACGGGAGGGTTCCGTTGGCTAATTGCTTTCTCTAAACTTCCAATCTTACCATTTGTTAATACCCTTTAAGGAATAATACATTTACAATACGTAACGATATCATTGTTTCAAATGCATATGGGATACAAATTCCGGTTCGGACACGAAAATCTTCGTATCAACGCTTCTAAGCAAGGTTCTTTTCCTATCAAGTAGATCGCTAGGCAAAGCGATCTTCATAACAATTACATCAACTTATTAATTTTATCGCAAATTTTGAACAAAAAGTATTTAACGGGAATTTGTAAAAGAGAATTTAAAACTTCCGGTTGTAACTCTCCTATTTTTGTGCGACATGAAGAAACTGATTAAATGTTGACGGAAATCATTATATCCATTGTATCCGGATCTTTGAAGCGATCTCAAATCAGACTTAATTTGGCAATCGAATAGGGGCTTAAAAAAATGATATTCAATTATCATTTGAAAATTCTTTCAATGAATTCCCTAGTTCTAAATTTATAAAAATAATGATAAACACAAGCTAGCCATAAAAGGAGTGGGGCGGGGTATCAACCGATTTTATATGTGGGGTTATATACATCACTCGCTCTTTGTCCGATTTGAAGAATAAAAAAATGATCAACTACGTCTAGATTCGAATTTGTCAATGATATTTTTTTTTATTACGCTTAGACAATTTGACATTTCCCGTTTACGCTATGCTTTCTCCGTCTTTTTATTCCTATTTAATTGCGTGTTCCAATTGTTAAGATTGATCGAACTTTATTTATGAAAGTAAAAGAGAATATAATGTCATCACTCAAACATGATTCGATAATGTGATCCTTTCGCCATTAAAGAAATTATGATGTCTGCCAATAAAACAAATTTTCCATTTTATTACTAATATGGTAATTAATGAAAGAACGATATATAGTATTACACGACATGACGAATTAAATAACGAATCAGGTCAGCAGCCAAATATGCGTTTAAAAAAAGAACAATCCTATATGTCAAAGAAAAAAAAGTATTAATAAGCCAACTGAATTTCAATTCATGCATACATGCGTCAGAGACGTTAGAATAGATAGAGAACTGACTCATAAACTCTACTAATAAATTTCATTTGACAAGAAACTATAAAATCTTATCTATTAGATATGTTATATGGCTCATAGCTGCCAAAAAAAAATGTTACACATAAAACAATAATTTCATCAATCTATCAAATCAACGCAAAAGGTTAATTAATTGGCGTTATTAATTTGGCAAGTGGTTTATTATTCGTGAATAAAAAAAAAATTTTAAAAAAAAAAAAAAAATACTATCGGAAATGAAGTACGTAATAATCTAGAATGAATAGTTTATTTGTTAACAAATCACCTAATACTTTAATAGCAATTGATTAAAAAAAAAAAATTTCCGTATTACGTATTCAATGGAGAAAAAAGAGAAAAAGGCAATTTTTTTGACGATCATATCACAAGTTCGAATAACAAACTATGCACGAAGTCTCACTAATAATATTACATTGATTATGGGCTGAATTTTTTTTTTTTAATCAGTTCTTAAAAACGATATAATAAAAAAACTTAATCGGTATTATGTTTTAACTTTACATTCGTTCAAGCGGATATATTTAGCTTACACTTTTGGATTTGTTACATAGTCGTTTATGACTAATAAATATTTCGCTATTTAACTGAAATAATTATGCAGTATCAAAAAGATATTACTAATTTATTTTATAAATGTGAAATTAGTGTGTATTGAATAGGCAAAAAAATTTTGATCATTTAATGTTTATTTATTTAATCAATATTATATTTATATTAATACATATAAAAATTAAACAAATGATTAAGTTAAACAAAAGACTGCATAAAATATAAAATATTCATTAATGAGCTAAAACCTAAATTAGGTAATCATTATGAAATCCTTTCTGATTAGTATTCTTTGTAAAATTACAAGTGGTGTCATCCAACCGATCTGAATTATTATATAAATGAGAACTAATAAATTTATAAAGATAAATAACAAATGTTATATTTCATTTTGATGTGGCTTATTTTTTTTTCTTTAAAAAAAAAAATTATATAACAAAAATTTAGGTTCAACCATTAAAATATGATTATTTTTGTTCCATCCTTTTGGTAACAATGTGACGATCTATTGGAAAGGATATATATATGAGGAATTCATTCATTATTATATTAGAAATGGCAAGATTTCAAAAAAAAAATTAAAGCTTGGAATAAATAATTTAGAAAAGAATTCATTATTATATCAGTTTAAAATAATGGATTAAAAAAAAAAAAATTTATTAATTTCAATTTTACAATTTTTTGTGAACAAAACTTCAAATTCTTTCAAATATTTTATCCTCTTGAATTTTATTTTGATAATATTGTCTGAAACTATTCTTTAGCAATACCAAAATAAAATATACTTTCAATCCGGAACCGAATATAATAAATTCGGATTAAAATTCGGTTCCATCCTCCAACTAGAGACATCATACACGTTCGAAATAAGCCCAAGGAAGAGAAAACTAAACATGAATATTTTATTTTTTCAGAAGACAAAATCATTTTGTTTTTTGTTGTCAATTCGCTTTAATAAATTCCCATACTTCATATTGAAACATAATTTCTAATGTTATATGTAACTTATTTAATTCAGGTTATTATAAGAAAGTCAAAGAAGCATAACACTTCAGCCCGGTAAAGTTAATAGCAAATATATTTTTTTATATTTTTAAATTATTCTTTTTTCTTTATTTTACTAATCTTAAACACCATCTATAGAAACGATCATTAATTTGGAACCTATATAAAAATGCACTAATATTAGGTTGCCCTGAGGTTTTCAAGTATCGAAATCGAAATCCGTCGAAACTCGTCAAAACCGAAAGGTTTTCAATGGGATAAGGGCTTTGCCTCCCTTTCTACCGAAACACCCATATTTAACGATAACTTTAGTCAGGAATCAAAATTTCAGTCTGGTCCGTTGAGTTTCGCCGGAATTAAAGGTGAATTTTTGCTAGTATCCCAATATTTCTTCGGAAATAAAGACGACGTCACCATAAGTTAATGTATCAATAAATTTGAGGTGCAGCTATCTGATCATATTAATTGCATTGCAAAGAAAGTCTTTTATAATCGCTACCAATTTTAAATTTATTATTGATTTTCAAATTATTATTTCTCAATGGAATTTTCAAACATTGTTAGATTGTCATCCCTAGGGACCAAGGAACGAGTCAACCTTGAATAAAGCTGATGAAATGATATCGCTTAAAACTTATTTCTCAAGAAATTTATTCTCATTATTAAAACCAATATATTTTAATCTAATGTTCTTAAATAATTATTTCTTTATCTATAATGGAGAATTGTATATCTTTATTATCTCCAAGGTGAGTTTACTTTACCTTATCTTTATGATATTACAAATACATTAATAACACTCTAGTTTACATGTTTTTATGGATAGAACGAAAATGACATGTTTGGGGTAAGTTATAAATTAATATTTGTAATAATTATTTCACGGGGAACTGTGGATATCATGATTTTCACGGCTGCGCCGTGAAATTCATGATATTCCAGTTGAAATTTGTTTTTTCATCACGGTTCCGTTCATACAACATTAAAATATAATAAGCTAAGCTTGATCCACCATTTGTTTTTCATCCTTTTCTTTCATTTTTTTTTTTTTAACTTTTTCATGGGTAAAAAGAATAAAAAAAAAAATTCCTAATGTATCTAACAAACTCTTTCCAAGTTTCAAACGACAGCTGGCTTAATTTCTAAGAACTTTACTACAAATAATTTCCAAGACTTTTCTCAAGAAAAGGCTTCCTATTTTCGCGAAAAAGCAAAATTTAAAAATACTGAAAATTTACCAAAAAATGGACTACAAAATTTGAAGAATTTCGTGCTAATGCTGGTTATTTTGTTTCTTTAATTGTTCTTAATAACATCTCGGGTTCAAAAACAAAATTTAAAATATATCTCTACAATGAAAAAAAATGCAACATACTGTCATAAAAAGTGTTCAAGGGGTTCGTTCTTATAAAAAAATTAATGAAAATTAACTTAATACTTTAAAGACATTGATTAATATTACAGACATTTCTAAACAAAATAATTCAATCATATCAAATAACATAATTTACAATAATAATAATTCTTCAAAATCGCAAATTTTTCTTCAAGAAATTTCTTTGACTTCAAATTCTCTAGATGAAACACCAATTTTTCATAATTTTACATTCTCAAATATTTCTTTTTACATTCAAGAATAATTAATTAAAATAATATCTATGTAAAATAAAAGTGTTTTTTGTTAAAAAAAATTATAAGTTCAAAAAAAAAGATTGAAAAAAGATATTAATTGTGCATCAAAATTGTGATACAGAATTACTAAAAACTTATTAATAACATATTATTTCCATATTATTTCCATATACAATTTTTTTATAAGGCTAATTAATAGCTATGAAAAGTTAATAAAATTAATAATCCTTCTTTGTGTTAGTTTATTTATAATAGGTAAACAACTTATTTTTGCTAAGTGTTCAAGTAAATGACTTTTTAAGTCATTTTTTTTTCTAATACAAAAAATATATCTATTTTATAATAAAAGAAAATTTATACTCTTTCATTAAAAGTTGTATGATACTTTTGTTCTCCTACTCATTTATTAAATAATTGTGATCTTAAATAATAAACAAAAAAAATTACCTTTTATACAATAGTTATATAGTACAATAAGGATCATTTGATTTATATCAAAAATAATCAAAGTAATGTAATATGTAATTTGTATTATTTACACATTATTTTAAAACTGAAAAAATTAATAAATATTAAAAATTTAATACTAAAAATAATAGTATTAATTTATTAAAGAGAGTGAGATATTTTAGATAAAAAGAAATATTTTTAATTTAATAGATTTTATTATTGTTGCATTATTTAAAATCACTACTATAATTAATAGGAGTTATAATTTATAAAATAAATTAATAAAAGATTTTTTTAAAAACTATTTTTTTCTATACATCTCTATTTTAAAGTTTATCATAAATTTTCATTTAAAATAACAAAAAAATGAGAATTATAATATTAAAATGTTTATTTTATAGTCTTATTATAATTTATAAATTTAATTTGAATTTGTATTATTTATTTTTATTAAAAATAAAACAAAAATTCAGTTTTTTCTAAGATATTTATTTATTAAATAAATCTTGTTCATTATAGTAATTTAAACATTTCTATATTCTTTTTTAAAAAATTTATAAACTTTATAAATAATAAATAAATAAATTTTATAAAAATATTTTATTATTATTTTTATAAATAATAAAATTTTTAATTTTGTATTTAAATCTATAAAAAAATTTATAAATTTATTAGCTTTTATTAAATTTTACTAATAAAAATAATAATATAAAAATTTATATACAATCTAAAATCAGTCATATTTTATACAATAAATTAAATTATATAATTAAATTGAAATATATACTTATACAATTATTTCTGAAATAATTTTTTTAAAAAATCATTTCTTTCATTTTTTTAATAATAATTTATTAAATAAAAATGAAATTAATTATTTATATTTTTTTATATTTAACATTAATGATATTATAAATTATTAGTAATTTAATAACTAAAATTATAGTTAATAGTTTATATAATCTAATTAGGTTAGTTTTTATTAAATTTTAAAAAAAAATAATATATATTAATATATTAGATAAACTTTTTTAAAAATTAAAAAATATTTCATATAAATTTTACATATAAAATTTTTTGAAAAAAAATTAAATACTGGAATTCTATATTAATTTTAAAAATTTTATATTATATAAACAATAAAATCAAATTTGTATGACTTTAACTTAAAAAATAATATTTAATAATTTCTTTTCTTTTATTGTAAAACATTTATATTCATAATTTAAGATTTTTTATAAAAGTTTTATATTATATTAAATTTAACTATTATATTTTAAATAAAATATATTTTTATTGATTTTTTAATTTTTTATTAATAAATTATATCTTTCTTTATTATTTAATAAAATAATATTTGTTTAATTCATTTTACTTTCAATTTTTTTATAAAAAAAAATCTGATTAATTATTAATTTATTTACTTTAATTTTGTATCTTACTTTAATCATTACATTTTTTTTAAAAGTAATCAGTAGAAAAAAGGAAAAATACATTATTTAGTCAAAAAATTTTTTATTAGTTTACTCTGCTAATAAAATTACTCAAAATTTGTAGATTTTTCTTTTTTCTATTAATTGCTTCCTATATATTATATTTTTATATTTAAAATTTTTATTATATTTTTTTAGAAAATAATTTAAATTTATATTTCTTTTTCATATATTTATAAATATAATAATTAATTAATTAAAAAAATCAGTATTAATCTGATCTTTAAAATTATTTTCATCAAAAAATATTAAAAAATCTTTTAACTTACTTTTTAAAAACATTTGAATATTTTAACTTTTTTTATATTAAATAAAATCAAATAAAAATTTTTCTATTTAATTATTAATCATTTATAAGTTTCAGATAATAAAGAAAAATTTTAAGTGATTTTTTGTTAAAATAATAATTGATTATATAATATTTAAAAAAAATAGTACAGTGCATACAACTTAGTCCCAACAATAAATTTAACAAAATTCAAATTGCTAATTCTCACTCAAAAAAAATGATAAATACAAAATGTAACTATAGAATGATAGAGTAGCTTAAGCTTAACAAAACTATAGTATTAGATTTTTTATAAAATGATTTTTAGCGAAGTAGTAGCAATTTAAAGTCGAGGCATTTTACTAATAAATCAGATATTTTGTCCGCTCTACACGTGATACACATGATCATAATTCTCGTCGTTTATTGGCTGATTTACTACACTTCATAACACTGACCATATTTGATCATGTTGTGTAATAAACGGAGAATAAAACAAAATCGTTTCTATATTAGTAAAGGTGAACAATTCAAACGTTGCATATAGCAAATGTTCTTTTCAAAACCATAACATAAGCCTTTATTGTTTCAAAAAATACATTATTTTATTAAGCATTCACTAATTTTTCCCTTTTCTATTGCCTTTAGCTAGTGTAAATAAATCTATGCAAAAGAACCTAATTTGTTAGATATCAACTGAATCAGGAATCTAATGATGCGAACGATACTTTTTAACCGCAAATTCTACTGCCTGTCCTGTTAAGCCTTTTCAATATACATCCATATAACGAAACGCTTTTTTTGCATACCGGCGGATAGTTGTAAGTGAGACAGAAGCAAGGGCTAATGGAACCATTTTTTGTAATCCTGTTCACGAGTAATCATAATTCAGCCGACTAAATTTTTTTGCTGCATCCCAAAAGTTCTCAATGTAGTTAAGCTCACAATGAAACTTGGGATAAAATATAACTTGATGTCTAACTGCAATAATAGCCTCTTCTAATTGTCCTTTTTGTGCTAAAAAGTCTGGTTGCTGATTTATTACTTCTCGTGCTTCTTCTAATTTTAACCCTTCATTTGGCCACAATCCCTTTCTATTAAAACTTGTTTTAGTCCTTTTGGCTGTTCACGTAACTTAGGAATATAATAATCTAATGGAAAAATCATGTCCTGTTGAATCCTATCACCAAAATATGTGCTATGCATCTTCAGCTGTTTTCCACCAGGACTGAGGTTCATACGTTTTACAACAAGTGCACCTGATGAAAAAGCAGCATGACTTGATGCATTATCAAAAGTAAACAAGGCTTGGCATCCTAGAAAACGTGCTTCAAATATGGGTATAGCACGTTTAACTACCTGTTTTACTAAGTCTTCAGCATTTCACCATTCATCACTGTTTTTTCCCAGATGCATAATGACATAGGCTTCTCTGGGAAAACCATCTGGTGACTGCATTTTGTCAGAAAGAGCAAGGCAACCACAAACTTCAGTTAGGAAATCACTAACAAGAATCGAATGACCATTACCTTTTTTTCTTAAAGGCTGTTCTCTATTAGGAATCCAAAGACTTCGACTTCCATCATAAGCTGAAAAAATGCACTCATCATGTGTAACAAGGATAAGTGGTTGCGCGTTATTGTCTGGCCAAGTTATCTTTTCCAAATTATCTTCTGAAAAAATAGGCATCCTATCTTCAAGTTTACTCATTCGTTCTAAAAATATTTTTTTATAGGATATTACATCTTCCCTCTCATGTCCGTCTATATACATTCCTTTCTTCACCTTAGCGTATGTATACCCTAATTCTTTTAAATAGTTTCTTGCTGTATTGATATGTATAGTCGGAAATGGTACAAATCCAAGTCCTGGTAAAATGACTTCGTTCATATGTACCATTAATATATGTGGAGTAATATCCCACTTATGCTCCCGAACATATGATTTTACTTGAAGAAGTATATTCTCATCCCAGAGGAAACTCCATATTTTAGCATGTCCTCGATGGGAATAAGAAATTTGGTGAGTTGTTACATAATCATGTGTCTAAGAACGAACACATCTGGCATGATATATTCCCTTTCCTACTACATCAGTAACAATATTACTTGCCTCCATTTTTGTGTAGTTGTTTTTTACA